CTGTCCCACAGGCAAGGATGTCTGTGTGTATGGGACACCAAAGGACACCTGTCACACCTGAAACAATTTGCTAACACTCACAATTGCGGAATTCAGGAAGAATCACTGTTTTTAAAACTATTATTTCCCTGACATATAAAATATACATACATATCAATATACGTGCACTCTTCTGAGCTTCCCCTGCCCTCCACTTAATATTTGGCTACGGCCTTCTTTTCATTCGTCTTCTCATGTCAACGAATTGGATGTACAGACCTAATTTTTAATGGCTACGGTGTTATGCCTGACTGTTTGACATTACCATGGTTTACCTCACTAACCCTTTATTGTGGGGCAGATTGTTTCTGGTTTCCCCTGGCATCAACAACTGCAGTGAACATAATTGCTTATTTGACTGTTTACTTAGGACACATTCACAGACATGGAACTCCTGGCCCAAAGCTAATTCACTTGAATTGTGATCCATATTTCTAAATTGACTTTCTAGAAAGTGCTTCTGTTTATTTAGTCCATTGGTTTTAACTCAGATTACACCCCCACAAACGGGTTAAGAGGAAACTATCCAATTGGGCAAATTGCAAACACTTGCTGAACTTGAGCTGCCTTGGGGTCTGGATATGGAGGATCCAGGCTAGAGGTGAAGTCCAGGGAAGCGTGGGTGGCGTGGTCAAGGACCCTGTGTGGGTGTGAGCATGTGAGTGTGTGTCCCTCAGGTCCAAACTCATGCACACACCCACACGCCCTCACTCCCGCTCTGCACCCTTGGCCACCAGGAACCTCCCTGAGCTCAGATGCATCCAGTCCCAGCACCAGGCAAGTCTGAGAAAGTTTCCCCAGACTGACTCCCACCCTCACCCACCAGAGGCAGGACCAGAAGGATCCCGGCTGTAGGGTGAAGTCCAGGGAAGCGCTGTGTGGGTGCGGGCGTGTGAGTGTGTGTTGCTTGGGTCCATGCTCATGCACACACCCACACTCCCACTCTGCACCATCTGCCACCAGGAACCTCATGTTGTTCAGCCTGCTCGCCAGTCCCCATGCACTTGGTTGAGCCTAAGGTCCTTACGGACCCTTGCTCTTTATATAAATAAATAATTCTGTAATATTTCTGCACAACAAGGATATACATATACATATATATATATACTAGAGGCCCGGTGCAAAAAATTTGTGCATTTGTGGGGAAGAGGGGGTCCCTCAGCCGGCCTGTGCCCCTCTCCCAGTCTGGGACCCCTTGGGAGATAATGACGTGCTGGCTTAGGCCTGCTCCCGGGTGGCAGAGGGCAGGCCCAATCCCTAAGTGCAGCCCCTGGTAGGGCTCAGAGCAGGGCGGATCAGGGGGTTGGGGCGCCGCACCCTGTCACACTCAGGGCAGAGCCGATGGGGAGGTTATGGCTCTACCCCGTCACACACAGAGCAGGGCCCGTGGGGGGAGAGGGTTGGGTTGCTGCACCCTGTCACACACAGAGCAGCAGGGCAATCAGGGGGTTGGGGAGCTCCCCCCTATCAGGCACAGAGCAGGGCTGATCAGGCGGTTGGGGCGCCTTCCCTTGTCAGGAACAGAGCAGGGCGGATAGGGAGGTTGTGGCCCCGCCCCCTTTCACACACCGAGCTGCAGGGCGATCAGGGGTTTTGGTCGCTGCCCCCTGTCATGCTGATCCCGGTGCCAGAACACCTCGCGGCTCCGCTGATTCCGGTGCTGGGAGTCCTTGCTGCTCTGCTGATCCCGGTGCTGGGAGGCATATTACCCTTTTACTATATAGGATAGAGGCCTGGTGCATGGGT